GCGTCGCTCGCGCTCGCCATTTTGCGAAGAGGTATGCGAGTATCGCGTACATCTCCGCGTCTATCACCTCCCACGTGTTCGGCAGCTTTCCTCCCCACATTCCCGCCCCAAACGCTGTCCGTATCTCCCCTTCTTCACAGGGTCCGATTCCGTTGGGATCCTTTACCTGTGCGTCTCCCGGGACGCTCTTTCCGAATCGTGTCGGTCCTTCGAACACGCCGTACGCCACCGGCACGTACTTTCCATCCGCCGCCATTTTGTCTTCATGGTCCTTTCCTCCGTCCGTCGCCGCAAAGTGTGTGAACTGGTGTGAGACGTGCAGTGCGAGGCATGTCTGCGCTACTTTCAGGTTCAGGGCTCGTTCCCTTCCACGACCGCAGCGGCTCGCTGTCTTTTCCCATCTTAATTCGCTTTCCTTTGCTGTCCGTCAGCTCTCCCCCCGTCTCAAATTCGTCGTATCGGAGCAAGAAGCGCGTTAAGGGGTCCTCCTGTAGCTCCCCTACTCTGATCGCGCTCGCTCCGTATCCGTATCCCACGAACAGCTCGTAGCCTTCTTTCTGCGGCTCCGGTGGTGTGCCGGTGATAGTACTAGCACGCGCCAGTTCGCACCTGTGTCGAGCCTGTCTGCTGTGAGAGAGAGTTCTTTTGTTTATATTCTTTCTGCAAGTTAATGTGTCTCTGAGGCGCCCCTTCTGGGAACAACGTCTCATCCGCCCCGAGGCTCCCCTCCTGTCGCTCCCTCTCCTGTCTCTCCATCATCTTTCTCACCGCGTCCTTCGTGATCTTATTTTGCTCGGGTATCTCCTCCTCCCATGTCGCGTTCGTATCGAGGCCCGGGGTCCCCTCCAGCTTTGATCACTCGATTGTCCCCTTCCTCTCTCGAACCCAGGTGCGTGCCGCTGTCTTGCGCCGGTTTCTTCCCTCGGAGGTAGAGCGTCCTGGCCTTCCCCTCCACTCGGATGTCCGTCCTGGTTCGCCCTTCTTCGAACGTGTGTTCTGTCATGTTGGGGCCGTGTTGTGCACACCCCCGTTTACCTCCCTAGGGTTGCCTAACGTTAATTTGGGGCCTAACAGTTGCGCTATTGTTGGCTGAAATCCTCAACGTTGTTCAAGTGTTCTCCCCAGCCCATGCTGTTACTGTTTGTTACTGTTGTTACTGTTGTTCAGCGGCCAGCAAGCAGAAAATGGCAAAAAACCCGGGTAAAACCCGAAAATACCTGGGATTTTCCGGGTATTTTCGGGTATTACCCGCACTGGACACTAGAGATCGTCGTGGGTCACTGCCAGGCCTTCCTTGCTGTTGTTCAGTCGGCCTAACGTTAGCTACTGTTGTTGGGGGGGCCCACTGTTGTTCTGTTGTTACTGTTAACACTAGCAACACTGTTCAGCTCTTAACGTTAGGCAACCCTATACCTCCCTGCTGTATTCGAGAGAGAGATTTTTATTCACCAACAAGAAATCACTTCTCTCTTGTATTCGATGAATCGATCGAGGACATCGCTCCATGACGGTGCATTCATTACCTTTTCCATCGCACGTCTCTAGTGCTCTGTCCGCTTGCGCTGGCCTTCGGCCCCGAACCACCTAGCCTTCTGCGGTGCTCTAGCCACTCTCGGAAGGACGCCGCTTGCCATCTCACGCCTTGCGCATGCATCAGCTCCCGCTCCCATGTGTTAGCCAAATCACCGACATACCCTACGCTCGCCATCTTATCATGCCACACCCAGCTGTCGCTCTGCTCGCCTTCCCATTCGCATACTCCCATCCGTCCTCCTCCGTCCGACCATCACCCAAAAGCGGAGGTACATCAGGAGCCGCAGCCGGCCTGCTCTATCAGCCCCGCAGCCGCGGTGGCGCGACCGGACCGCGGTCGCTCCAGGCGCCTTTTGGCCCCGGTTCGAATCGCGGTTGGCGCGCGCCCTCGCGGAGCGACGCGTGGCGCGCGACGCGCGCGCGTGCGCGTGCGCGCCCAGCCGAGCCCTAGGCCGTATGCCGTCTGCCTTATTCGGCTCTGGCTTTCTCTTTGCGTTGAGGTGAATTCTCTTGTTGCCCAAGCGTCCTTTGCGGCCGCACAAAACGCTCACCCCCCCAGTTTCCCCGACGCGCGGAGCGCGCTACACGCTCTCACTACAGCTAAAGGATGGGCTGCGGGACGTCAAAACAGAAGCAGGAGGCGATGGACGAGATGGACGTCAGCAAACAGTGCGCGCGCGCTCCTGCACTGCCCGCCCCGCCCCGCACCGCCCGCCCACACCCCCGCCCGCATTCACCCCTGACCGCCGCCTCGCAGTGGCGCCGAGTCCCCGTCGTACCACATGACAACGCTCCGCCCGTACCGGACGAGCCGGCGGTCGCCGCGCCAAGCAGTTCGTAATTTCGTGCGATTCTGCGCCTCACGTCGCACCGGAGAGGACTGTGTCGCACGCCTCTGCTCTGTGGGTGGGATGGGAACGGCGGTCTCGTGAAGCGCAAGGTTGAACACGCATCATCTCTCGACTC